CTCTAGGTCTGGCATAGTATCTGGAGTAACCCTGACAGCATTGCTTTCAGTGGCTGCTTCAGTGATAACAAAGCAGGCCACCAGGCACCAAAGCTCTCCTCCATCTTGCAAAGTCCATCCAGCATCCAGAAATCTTCTCTTCCGAGGACAGATCCCGGTGGTGCTAAAATCAGTGGTGCTTCATTTACCTGCAGATTGCTCAGGTCAGCGTCTAGTCCCTCAGGTTTTACCTCCTGAAGAGCAGACAGGCGAGAAGGCAATTTTCAGGCAGCGTAGAGGTCAGTGACCTCACCTTTTTATTCAGGAGGGATCCTCAGTGCCCATTAAAAGAAAGAAGAAAATCTTGTTCTGTCCAAGACGCTCAGAAGTCTATCCTGGCTGCTCGCTTCCCATTTTTATAGATCTATGAAGAATTGCGAGTGAGTGAAATTGCAGCATATGCCCCAGTTGCAAAGGATCTCCATTCCCCCCAGTTCTGCCAGTACTGGCTCATCCCATGCCCTTCTGTGCTGCTCCTCCTCTTCACACATCCTTCCTGGGCTTTCTCCTGTGCCCATCTGGTGAAGGACTGCATGCTGTTAGGACTTGATCCTTATCAAGATGAAGTTCTTCCACTTCACCTCTCTATAACCCTAGGATTTCTTAGCAAGGTCCTAATCATGGTCAGTATATATATAAGGAATCAGTCTGTGTGCACCTGAGCAAGCAGCTCATTAGAGCCCTTATTGTGGCTACAATGGGCTGCACGAGTAGATACTGTCATCTCTTCTGGCTCTTGGCTTGAAGATTAACAAAGACAAATCAAAGTCATCATGAGATTCATTCCAGATTCATTCTCTTGTTGCCAAGTTTGGAAAAATCTCTGTGTGTGTGTGTGTGTGTGTGTGTGTGTGGTGCTGGGGGCAGATGGGCTCCAGGGTGAGCTCTCCTTGCTTAAAGTGAATTGCTAAGTCATGATGAATCTGGAGATGCTTTTTACTTGCCTGAGCGTATGTAACAAATCCAAATAACGTCACAGCATGGCAGCAACTCAAGGCACATTTGGGAATCCCAGGGCTTGCACTGTTTTCCCTCTTTTGCTGCTCTGGTTGCTTTTAGTCAGATCTTTCTTTTGTTGCAAGGGGGAGAAGGGATGTGGGACTTGTTTAATAAGTAAGGCAAGAAGGTCTTGGGCTACTCTGTGTACCAACAGTCAAAGTGATTTGTGGTTTCTTGATTGTTATGAGTAGAAAATGTTACTAAATAAAAAGATCCTTTGGTTGATGCACAGGTAATGAATACAACCATTTATGATAACAGAGAATATATATGGGTGCTCACGAGATGCAAACTTCTGCCCATAATTAGCTGTTTTGGTGCCATTAAAATGAACATCATTCTCTCGTTGATTTCTCTCCTCTGATTCGACAGAGCACTCAGTATATTCACATTTCTGTTTTGGGGATTTTGTGTCCTTTGGCATCTAGTGAACGCCATCAGACTGAGTCTACATGAACAGCTTTCCGTGAATCCTCAGTGTTCTACCAAAAAGAACTGCGTGGGAAAGCCTGTGTTTAATTTCTTTCTTTTGTTCAATATCCAGGTCTGAATTGCCTGTTACTGTGTAGCTGCAGACCGTTATTTACTCCCCAGTAAATCTTTCTCTTTTCCTCTGACAAAACAACAGGTATTGCATTCCTGCGGCGGAGGAGAACAAACTTGATGATGTGGTACATACCCTGCTGCAAGCCAATGGCACTCCAGGGCTGGAAATGCTTGAAAGTAACGTAATGGTAGGTTAACGCTGGGAGAGGCATTCCCCTTCGAGAGCCCAAGGCTAATCAGAAGGCTGGTTGGTTGGAGATTTATTTTGGTTTTGTTTTACACCGCAACGATGCAGAGGTTGTTATTAAATCTGGCTGATTTCTACTTACAGCGTTTACCCCCATGGCATTTTTTCTAACAAGGCTCACACATTAGTGTTGAAATAAAAATAAATGTGACAGTGCAATAAATGTCCATTTTTAATAGTGTCCATAATGTATTTAACCTCACAAAGGGAGTGTTTTGTAATCAGATAATCTGCCTTGATTGACATTTTATGATGCCAGCATGGATATGAGAAGGATTATAATACTTAGAAGGATTTCAAAGTGGTTTTGGCTCCCTTGTTTATTTTATGAATAACAATTTCAGTTTACTGGATTTAAGTATAAATTTGGGAGTCCACAACAAATACAACTCCCTCAGCTCTCCATGTTCACATCTCTACCAGCAGTGTAGCAGGAAGGGGGGATTCAATGCCAGGTCTGCCTGAAAAGCTCTACTGAATGGGCTGCGTTACTCTCTGTAGTAGCAGATAGGACTGTTTTGAGGCTTTGTGTTGGAGAGTGTTTGGCAGGTGAAAGTTTAAACTCTTGGGTTTCAAAAGAGCCACTTCTGCAACTCTCACTTCAAACACTCAGCTTCAGCATATGCAGAAGGGAAGAGAAAAAGTGAACAAAGCTGAGCTCCACAACAAGTAGCATGTGGCAGACTCGGCAACAAAGGGGATCTCACTGTAAAAGAAAGTTCTGATTTTTTTTTTCTTTTCTGTCTTTCTAGATCTCCCCAGAAATCTTGTGTAAGGAGGGGATCAGGGTGCACCGTACTGTACAGCAGAGCGGGCAGTTTGTTGTCTGTTTTCCTGGATCCTTTGTGTCTAAAGTGTGTTGTGGCTATAGTGTTTCGGAAACAGTGCACTTTGCTACCACCCAGTGGACAAGCATGGGTTTTAAAACAGCCAAGGTAAGTTGAGAAAAAGGAGTTCAAATGGATTCACAGCCCTGCCATCTCAAACGACAGCAAACCAGACATTCCAGGATTTGATAGTATTGGGAGACTAGTACAACTCCGTGTATTTTTTGTGGACTATTAAATAAACAAAGGAAAAAGTTCTGCAAGGGATAAGATGATCGAGTGTTTTCAGAAAAGCAACGGAGGTGATAATTGATAGCTAAAAACTATGTATATTTGAAAAATTCAGAATATTGTTATGCCTGCAGACCAGTTTGCAAGGAAGCTTTTAAACAAATCCCTTCAGAGCTAATGATAATATATTGTATTACGCTTACTAATTTTTTTTGAAGTGATGTTTTCTAGAACATTAGAATCTCAGGTGCAAATATCTGAATAACTGTGCTTGTTAGCTCCTATGATAGGCAGAGTCAGTGAATACAGCTGTACTGCTCGTCTTTCTCTGCCCCTTCATTCAGGAAAAGCTGTTGATCAGGGCAGTTTTTCAATTTGACTAGAAAATTCCCTGACCAGCCCATCCCATACTAAGCTGTAAATAAAACAAACTTTCTGTTCCCTTTTCACCCAGCTGAGGCAGGTTGTCTGCAGAAACAAACAGGTGAATTTGCCAGATTATCATGACTTTGGCTACATTTCTCTGTTCTTGGACAAAGAGTATCTGTCACTAATTGTGTTCCCAACCTCCTTAAATACACTATGGGTTACAGACGCTATTTTGGTAGTGTTTTATAGCTAAGCCACTAGTAAATTACCATTTACAACTTCAGACCAACTGGTAAGTAAGTAATTAAATGTACTACGTCCACAGTTAGGTTTTGGTTCTTTAGGGTTAATGGAATTTTTCCAGCCTGGTTATACTAACTGTATATTAACTTAGTTTGAAATAAAAGGTTATTTTATTACAGATTTATTTTGGAGGAAGGTGGGAATTGTATATGTGTGTAGGTAAGGACTGAGAATCCTGAGCTAACCTTTTCTGTCTAAGGGTACACACTTATATGAACTCCCTGTGCTGTATTTATTGCTCTGCTGAACACTTGATATTGTGAAAATGCCACTCCTGTAAGAGACAGAAGTCACTATGCAGTAATTAAAAAGCTCTTTTTGGTGCCTCAAATTCTGAAGAACAGTTTCTTTCGATTAATTTGTAAGAGCTTTGCACTGGGTAAATGTAAGCTGACTGAAAATCCAGCAGATCCCAATCTATGATAGCCTACCTTGGAAACTGAAGTCACAGCTCTCGTGAACTTTACAAGAACCACAGATTTGTCTTGGTATCAAAATAACTCTGGAAACACGTACTGCATTGTTCTTTTCCTGTTGGTTTTTTTTTTCCTTCCTTCTCTTCTTTCCTTAAACTATCCTATGTTCTTAACTCCCTTAAATTTTGGAAGTTCTTCCTTGGCTCCTTCATTTTGCTGAGCCACTTGGCCATTTTCCAAGGCTGGCTGGGATTGTGCTTTTCCGGGGTGTCGCAGATGAAGCGTGAGGGGTGGGGGGGAGGTTGCACGAGCACAAGACGTTGTGAGACATTCTGTGTAATGAGCAAGATTCCCCTTTTGGACTGTTAATGAACTCTCTGACAAACAACTGTACCTTCCTGTCTGTCCATTCTTGACAGCAATATTGACAGTTTTCAGCTGTTTGACACATTCACTTTGTTTCCATTCTGTGATACTGTGACCTGATTTTTTTATAGTGACTCTCTTTATATTACTAAACAATATTGTTTCATTTCATGTATTGAATGACTGCGCAATCTCCTTTAATATATGGAAAAATGAAATTCTGCATCTGAAATGGCCTTGATTTCAGTTTATAAGGAGTTGGGATAATTGTTGGAATAAAAGAGTTTATATAAAGCCTGTGTACAGGGACAGATAGGTTTCACCTAAACCATACGTTGGATCCAGGTTGCTGGCTTTTAAAAAACACCCTAAAGGCTCTTGAAATTTTAAACTAAGGACAAGGAGAAGGTTTACAGGTGTGGTGGAAGGGTGTGCGTTTGGAATGGCCAAGGGGTAACTCCATATCCTCGAATAAGGCATCGGGCAAAGTCAGCAAAACTCATTTAGGAAACAGAGAATATTGGACTAAAGGAATGCATGCTGGTCTGGAGGTTTGGAAATAAGAAGGAAGGTCTGGTTTTAAAGGAGGGCTTTGGTCATTTAGGGACTACCAGAAGCTTGGTGGAAAGAAGAGCCTTGGCTGGTACCATAACACAAGAGGCAGAAGTACGTAGGAAGGATGGGATTAGTCCTGCAGTAGGATTAGCCCTGCTGCACACAGAAGAGAGCTTACAGTCAAATAAGCCAGGCTGCACTCTGTCACCAGTGACAATCCCTGTGCGCTGACCTTCCCATCCTAAAAAGGAGGAGCATGGTGTTAGCACTGTGCTCCTGACTGTCCAGCCACGATGTTGGCAGGGGCTTTACATGTTTCCCTGCACCCCAAGTTTCAGTTTGGGTGAGGAATGCACCTTTAAGATGCCACACAGGTACCCTTCCGTGGTCTTTATCACAGAGCTGTCTTAGCCCGAGCAGGCTCGGCTGCTTTCAGCTGGAATCAAATGGGAAGAGGTGCTCCAGGAGTGCACCCTGTGTTCTCCAAACACCACTGGTGTGGACTGGCAGTGAAGTAAAGCCATCGCCTTTACACACACACACGTCCTGTGGATGTTTGGGTCCTCAGCATCAACTGCATCACTCTGTGCATCCACTCCTCCTGCTTTGCCATGCTGGATGGTGTGTGGAGCCAGCCCGTGTTATACTAAAGGAGCTGGGAGAAGCTGCGGGGACAGTAATGGGAGAAATGCAGGTCTGCTGCCTCCAGCTAGGATGGCTGTGTTGGGGTGTGATGCCAGAACATAAATGGCTTCAGGGAGTCAGGAAATCCACATGAGAAGAAACTCTCGTCTAGCTTCTGGGCAGTGGTGCAGCCCAGTTCAAAACATCGCTATCAAATAGCTGCGCTGTGATGGTGAGCAGAGATTAAGGACCTTGAAAGAGCAGTAAAAAGCAAAATATCCACTACTGTGGTGTTTCATTTCAAAAGACAGCCTTGCATAAAAGCAAGGCAGCTTGTTAAATTGAGAACACAGAAAGAAGAGTTAAGTGCTTTCATGCAGCACAGAAATTGTTTAAAGATGCTGTGTTAGAGGCTCCCAGCACAGGCGCATTGCCTAGCCAAAAAAAAAATAAAATTGAAAAAGGCAAACCCCCCACTGAACTTGGCATGGCTAAACACCAGGAGAAAGGAGTCTGTTTGAAATGAGACCAAAAAATCCCTTTTGTGTCCAGAAGATGAAAATGCAAATAAAACAGCCACTATAGCTAGATGCATGTAAATACACATGGACACAGACCCAAAAGAGATTTCAAAGAAAAACCTGCTAAAGGCCAGAAGGAAAAACAAATGTAGAAAAGAATGAGTCTGGGGCAACCATCATGGCTTTTGCAGCAAGGTCATGGCCCCAAGGCCTTGACACTTTTGGAAGGGCGTATGGCCAAGGAGATCCAGTTGACAGTCTGTGAGCATTTCTGGAAGACTTTGGGTGAGGTTCCTCAGAAAAGGCCCTTAAAGAAGTTAACCTGCCAAAGGCTGAGGGGGAAAGTTCACTCACCAAAAAATCAACAGCTTTAAAGAGAAGCAGAGGATGGGAACGAATGGTCAGTTTTTATCATGGAGGAGGTCACTTTCTGCATTCCTCAGGAATCTGTAGTAAGACCAGGACAGTTCAACGTATCCGTCAATAACCTAGGAAGGGAAGTGAACAGCAAAACTGGTCCTTTATACTGAGGATGCTAATGGCTTGTGGGGTGTTCCAGAGAGATCTCATGATAGTGAGTGATCTGAATGAGAAAAATGGGTTGATAAATTTTAAATGACTCAGGAGTAAAAAATAATCTTAATTTGACAGTCACAGTGATGGGCTCTGAATGTGCTCTTGCTACTGAGAAAAGAGGTCTTTTGGATTCCTGTAGAGCTGCCGACCAAGTGCCCTGGAGAGGTTTAATAAAAAAGTCTTGAATGTTAGGAATTGCAAGGAGAGAACAGAGAACAAAGCAGAAACACCGCTACGGCACTGTGCAGGCTCTTGGTATGGCCATGGCTTGAATACTTGTGCGATTCTGAGCCACTAATTGCAAAAGGAATGTAGAGGAACTAGAAAAAGCACAGCAGAGGTTGATGATTAAAGGTATGAATTAGCCTCTGCATTCAATATAAGAGGACTACTCAGCCTGGAAAATTAATGACCAAGAGACGTATACAATAGTAAGATCAGATCACAATTGGCAGGTTGATGATAGTTATGTTTGCTGTCATAACATATGAGAAACATGTAATTAAAAGAAATTATTAGGCAGTAGGTCAAAAGCAAACAGAAGTCTGTTTTAAAATACTGAAGAATGCTTTTCTTTGATAAAATAAATGGCAAGAACATGTAATGAGGGTTACAAAACAGGGTGAAAAAAATTAAGTTGAAAGAGAAATCTTCATTTTTGTTTGTGATGAGTAGGTGTTTGGTGGCTTAACTCCTGACTGAAATGGCACCATCACATTGTGCTCCAGTGTTGGCATCAGTTGAAAGTTTTCAGACAATTACATAAAACAAAACTTACTTCTTCAGAGGCTGGGAAAACTCTATAGTCTTTTCCCAAATGCTGAGTAAAATTAAGGAATTTGCTTGCGTAAGAGTTATGAAAAGGGTTAAAGCTACCAGAATCACTCAGTTTGTATTGACAGGAATGAAAGACAGACCTTTAAAAGCTTTATACAGAGAGGAACCAGTAACAGGCAGAACTGAGCAGAACTGAAGCCCCCTCTTTTGCCTGGTGTCTCTTTTCCCTGACATCTGCCTGGTTTGATAGCTGTTGTCTTTTTGATGTTTTAGAAGCTGCACAATAACAGCAGGCCTGGGCTTCGAGCAGGTCAGAACAGAACTTACTGGATGGCTGAGAGCGCGAATAGTGTATTACTGAGCTTAAGCGATGGGGTTACTCCTCTTGGCCTCCGCAGGAAAAATGAATTTTTAGGGAGAGAATTTTGATGCGTTTGTTGGTTCCTTCATGTCAGTGAACTGCATGCTGATCTATGGATGGATGTAAGTTAGGACGATAAATGCTTTGTTTAATTCAGACTATGGAGAGCTTTTGCTTTTGCTTGTTTCAAGAGGCTGCTTTTTGCTATATTGAATTCCTTCTTCGTAACTTTTTATCTTCAAATTTGCTCGACTAATCTGGCAATTTCTGTCCCAGGAAATGAAGAGACGACGTATAGCCAAACCCTTTTCAATGGAAAAGTTGCTTTATCAGATTGCAACAGCAGAAGCAAAAAAGGAAAATGGACCGACTCTGAGTACGATATCATCACTTCTTGGAGAGCTCAGGTAACGAATTGGGGGCTTGTTGTACCTATTTTGTTTTCATTGACAGACTCCAGAGGTGGATGACGTAAGTAACCATTTCAGATGCATGTCTTGCACCCACTTAACCAAGCAAAAGCCCAGCAAACATCCTTGAAGACAGCCCCATGTGGAAGAAGCAGTTTCCTTGGCTGTATCTGACGTGAGAGTGCCCATGGTTAGGATGTCTTACTCTAAGAATTCCCTATTTTGGGCATCATCAAAGAATTAAAACTACAGTTTCCCTTGGGTTTTTATTTTGTTGATTCTTGGTGCTGAGTGTCAACATCTCCTGATGTGTTAGGTGAGCTACATGGTGCCAAGCAGTTAAATACCTTTCTTCGGCTTTCCAGCCTCTTGGCATCAGTAGCCACTGTCTGTCCACACCTGTAATGGGTTTTGTGCCAGGAACCCGTGTCTTCAGCATCAAGATCATTATCCTGCAGTTGTAGAAGGTATTTTGTATACAGAAAGTTGTCTTGATTTAAACCACTGAATACTTGAGCAGCTTACGCATGGGTGCTAACATATCTTGCATTAGAACTTGGATGTTTTAAAGCAAAAAACCTTCATACTCCTTTTTATCTCCAGTATTAAGGAAACATGTTTAGGGTTTCTCTTAAGATAGGTAAAAAAAGAAAATATAATGTTGCCTGGCTTCCTGTGTAATGATCTTCTCTTTTGTTCCCTACCATGTAGTTGCTACCTATCTTTCAAGTTTGTGACAACTGATACTCGAGATGTCAAGAAAGTTTTGATGAATGGAATCTACAAACTGTATTTAACTAACTAGCATGTTCATTGGGAAAATTTCCAGTGACATACTGAAGGGGAAGACAGCCCATGTGTTGTTTTTAGTGTTCACAAAGAAATACAAAGAGGTGTGCTGACTGCTTTACCTGCAGCTGGTTCCCCTGTGGGAATAATCCCTTCCAAGTGCTTTTTTTTTTTTTTTTTTTTCTCTCCCCTTGAAGAGGAAAAGTCTGCAAGTGTGAAAGGTGAAACAGAAATGTTGGTGCTTGCTGTTAGACCATCACATCGACCTCTATCAGAGTGGTTCTCAAACTTGTTCTTATGCTTAGGTTGGAATTCTCTGGAGGATATCGGTCCTTCCTGTGGCTTCTTGTATAGAACAAAATCCCAAACAACAAAACCTGAAAAAAACCCAACCAAAGTGGAACACTGTACCATATTTTTTTTTTTCCTTTGTTTTCTTTTGCTTGTTTGTTCTGTGTCTTTTGCTGTTTCCTCTCCTGATCTGCCGTGGTTGCTCGGTTTGCCCATGCAATTTGCTTAGCTTGGCTCTCTACCCAACTTCAGCTGTGTCTGGGGGTGAGCTTTTTTATTCTCCCCTTCCATCTGCTCAGCTCGCTCCCAGCTTGCTGTCTTGCACTCGGCTCCAACCCGACCTGCTCTCCTAGCATTGTATAGTTCAGCGTAGGAAATACCCTCTGCCTTGCGGACACCGTGGGTGAAGGGCGGCTGGAGGGCTTAGTCGTTACTCTTAATTGATATCTCCTTCTTTTTCCCCTGGGTGTACAGCAAGATCTTCGTTTTTTGGCACAATCCTTGCCCTGCTCCCCTTTTCCTGCCCGAAGCACCTTATGGCAGCAGGTCCTTGGGTCATCTCTGCCTCCTGATGAAGGTGGCTGTGTTACTCCTGACAGCACCGGCTCCTCCTCCTCAAGGTGGCTTTTGGCAACTTCAGGAATGACAGTCATTTTATAGCCACATCTCCCAACTTCTCCACATGGCCCCGAGCACCCATGGACCTCCAGGAAGTACTCGGCAATCCCCACTTCTCTGTGGAGCAGTTTGAGAACCACTGGCTTGATACAGTGGTCGCTGTTAAAACCCAGAGATAGCTGTTGCCATTGGGCAGTGTTTCTGCGGTGCTGGCTGGCTGTCACCATGCATAGGGAAAGGCACCAACCTCCAACAACACTCAGGGCTTTGCTGTGTGCACCTCAGGTTTCAGGGATGATCATGGTAAAAGGGTGATATTAGAGATGGCTTTGAGGTGGTGTGAGGTGATGCCAATGTCTAATTGCATCAACCATTCACAGGGACACGGAGCTGAGGCAGCGGCGGCAGCTTTACGAGGCGGGTCTCCATTCTTCAGCGCGCTATGGCAGCCACGACAGCAGCAGCACGGGGATGGATGGAAAGAAAAAGCCTCGAAAGTGGTTGCAGTTAGAAACGTCGGAGAGGAGATGTCAGATTTGTCAGCACCTGTGCTATCTTTCCATGGTGAGTAAAATCATAGAATCATAAAGGTTGGAAAAGACCTCAAGGATCATCAAGTCCAACCATCAACCCAACACCACCTCACCCACTAACCCATGTCCCGAAGCACCACATCTAAATCCTTCACCTTCACCGGGGGAGTCTCCCCTGTTGCGTTTATGACACACTGCAATGGACTACAAGCATTTGAGAAACAGCACGGGACTACAGAGTCATCTCGTGGACTCCGCACGAGATGCAGAGATGTATTTGATTTGTGTCAGAACATTTATCGCCTGAGGCAGTGGTGACAGAAGACAACGGTTAGTGTCAGCTAGCTTCCCTATCCCTGTAAGGAAGGGATAAACGTCACTCAGCCGCTCTCGGACGCCCCTGAGCACATCTGCGCTGCACTAGGAGGGGTAGCAAAGACACCTGCAGGTTGCCAGTAGTAGTAAGTGGCGGCAGAACAGCTCTCAGGATGAGCTAGCAACTCAAAGACGTGCCCCAAATCTCAGGTGTGCAGTTACAGCCCACGCTGCGCCAATTTCCCTGCAAGCCAAATTGCAGGGTAGATGTAGCCTATCCATCAAACTAAGCTGCTGTTTCCCAACCTGTCTGTTCAAAAATACAGGTCGTGCCCATAAACTTCCTCTTTTTAAAAGCCTACTGGCCTTTGAAGGTGTGCTAACCACTCTGGTGGCACCTTCAGGTTTTTAGCTTTATGCAGAACACCTAGAAATACAGTGATTTCATTAAGAATACCGAAAGCCCCTTCCACAAACCCTATGTAACATCTGCTTCTAAGATCAGATATTTAAATAAACACCATACAGTGTGTATGAGTCCATATTCAGTCCTTTTTCCTGCCATCTTTTTGGGTGGTTTTGATTATTAACATCATGGTTTTGATGGAAAGAATACAACACAACTGTTAAATGCGGAGATGTAGCTGTTTCCCTCCCTAGGACAGAATATGCTCATTTTTCACATGTCTTTAGACCACTGAGCAGCTACGACACGTTTAAGCAGCACAAGAAAGAACTTTAAAATGAGTTCGTTTAAAAAACCAACCAACCAAAACCTCTTAATTCTGGTCCGTTTGCTCTGGAGTAAGTGTAATCGAGGGAAGGATTTTTCCTTGTCACTCTTGAACAGTAATAGGGGACAAAAAGTCAACTTGGTTGTCCAATTCCAAACTGAAATTGTAGGCTTGGCAGGTAGCCGGCTGAGCAAACGTGACCTCTGCTGAATGAGACAGTATCTGAGGAATCCTGTGGCTAAGCTTCCAATTCTATCCTTAGTCAAGAGAGCATTTAAAATAATGGGAAATGGCTGCTTTCAGGAAATCTTTAGGCTGCATACTGGATACTAGTAAAGCTTTCTGCATATCTCATTATTTGCATTTGGCCTTCATTCCTATGTGGGGTGGTTTTTTTTGATTGTATGCATTTGCCAACATCAGCACTTCTTCTTACACATTCTGAATCATTTTGTAGTGCTGCTTGTTTATGCCTCTTTCCGCTAACTTGTAGTAAAACACAGGTTTAATAATTAGCACATCGCAATGGGAAACAGTGTGCGTGTATCACAGCTACAATTTGGAGCTTACTGCACTTCTCCCCTCTCTGCATTTTTATCTAGGTTGTACAGGAGAATGAAAACGTTGTCTTCTGCTTGGAGTGTGCCCTGCGGCATGTGGAAAAACAGAAGTCTTGTCGGGGACTGAAAATGATGTACCGTTACGATGAGGTCTGTACGATATGGCTTTGTGATGCTGCTGAGCTTGGGAGTAGACTTAATGCTGCCTTTGTCCCACCAAGACCACAGGAGACTGTGCTTGGGTTGGGTTTTTTTTTAGTGGTGGAGGAAGGTGCTTTATTATGCTCTAAGTAGAAGAAACAGAGCAAAATATAATTGGAGATGAAATCCGAAGCATAAACTTCATGAATGCGTGTGACAGAACAGCGAAGCCCTTTAGTGCTTTGGGATGCTGTAGACCCTAAGGCTGTGCTTTGGCTGTTTAATTTATGGTAACTTCCGTACTTTAGGATGACTTCCCTCTGCTGAAAACTGAAAATTCACACTGACTTACTCCAGTCCAGCCTGAGCCTCCTTCAAGCACTTGTAGAGTGCTTGTAGCTTCAAGCAAATGTGATGATGGATAATCAGAGAACTCAAGGAGGTGGTTTAGGACCGTGCCTGGGTTCTGGGCTAATGCCACACTGCAGGACCGTCCCATAATGCCTTGTCACCCGTCTGCTTAGCTCCAGTGTGTGCGAGGTGATGGGAGAGGAATAGAGAAGGACGAGCATTTCATTGTTAGCCAGAGCTGTGGAGAGTGAAGCAGTGGGAGGAATTACAAAATCAGCTCTTTAAATCAGTTTTTTGAGATGGGCTTCTCAGGAGTTCCTGATGTATGCACATACTGCTATGAGGGAAGAACCCAAAAGGTCAAAGTCAGGCTGAGGAAGACCATGCCCTTGTGGCTTTGTTCATTTTTAATTTTCGACTCTGTTCTGGCATCAGGTACTGCAGTAGGTTTACACAAACTAAAAGCCCAGACGACAGTGCAGCTGCCTTTGTAATGCAATAAACACCAAAGAGTTTCAGTATTCTTGAGAGTATTCAGCCCCTTACAACCTGTGTTTTTACAGCTGTTATTTCTATAGAGGTTTGCAAAGCCACTCTTGCCAGCAGAATCACGTACAATAATTTTTTTTGCTAGGTTTTATAATTACAAAGTAGGCATTTTAGGCTGTGTTGGGAAAGGCAAGAAAACCTCTCCTTCAATACTGGATGATGATCATTATTTTTTTCAAATGTAAAAAAAAACCCCGTCACAAAGTTTCTACGTTTCTGAAAGATGCTAACTGCATGCCTGCATATTATTACAAGAATATTTTTGAGGGCTGTGGGAATGGGGAGAGATATAATGGCATTTGACATGCAGGTTTGTTAAAAGCTATTTATTTTTAACCGTTAGGTAGACTTAAGAGGCTGTTTCAGCTTTGCACAAAAATAACTTCTCAGCATCCTTATGAGGATGGGGACAGCCAATTGAGAAAAATCTGTCCCCCAGACTTCACCAAGTCCCTGAATGCAATGGAAGTGGCTTTGTAACCAGGAAACTTTGAAGGACTCCTGTCTCTTGCTAATCATAATGCCCCAGACCTGTAGCCCTTGCACGGCAGCAAGGCAGCTTTCTCTAGATGTGGGGGCTCAGAGCACCCGGACACCCAGAGATCCTAAAAAGCATTAAATGAGAGCAGCATCCTAGAAGCAATGACAACAATGTCACAAGGAAAAAGTAGATTCTTTTTTTTTCCCCCCTTAAATTTTAAAGAAATATTTAATAAATTACAAGCAACATTACTGTTAGGGCATTTATAGCTTTCCTCAGCAGTGGCTTTTAAATGGTAGCTGTAGAAAATTTCTGACCCTAGTGAAGTAACCTTGCAGCACAGCTGCTTTATTCTTGCTTAGTGGCCAGAGCTCAGATGTTGCTGATTACTGATTGCTTTAAGTTTGGAGGAGGGGGAGTTTCAGGTGCTAATTTGTGCTTTATTTTTGTGAACAGGAACAAATAATCAGTCTAGTCAATCAAATCTGTGGAAAAGTATCTGGTAAAAACGGCAGCATTGAGAACTGTATCAGCAAGCCTACACCAAAAAGAGGACCTCGTAAGAGAGCGACAGTGGACGTGCCATCATCTAGGCTTTCATCCTCCAGTTCATCCAAAAGTGCTTCAAGTTAATCCTGAAGATGCCAACACTCTCATTTTGTCAATTTATATATATTTTTTGTAATTATTATACCATAGTTTGGAGTACTTGCTGTAGAATACAAGCTGTCTTTGCACTAGCTCTAAAGAAGATTTTCTTCTGGTTTTAGAGAACTAATTTTGTTTTAGCATTAAACTGTTGAATTTTTTTTTTTTGTACTTAGAATAGATAGATACAGCAGTCTGATTTTTTTAAACTGCCGTATGTTCACTGTTTTAAAACCGGCAAGGGGCTGATAAGATATTAATTTGTATTGTCCCTATGGCTGAAAAAATAAGAAGCCTTTTTGGTAACTGTGAAAAAAAAAAAAAAAAAGAGGCTTTTAACCCATTTTTTGAATAGGTTAAAGTTTGATGTGTTTTATAATTTGTTCTCCAGTCATGTGAGCAGATTTTTCTAGAGAGAAAATGGATAGGAGACAAAAACTTGAAAGAAATTGCTTTACTTTGGCTGTCTTTTATTCTGTCACGGCAAGATGAGTTTTGTAATTTTTTAAATTGGAGAATACACACTTTCTTTGGGAGGTTATGGTGGCTGAAGATGGACTTTGTTTCCTAACTGTAGGCAAAAGGAGGAGATTTGGAGTATGTTCTCTTTTACCAGCACATCACTATGCATCTGTTTTGAGGGGGAAAAATAAAAATTTAAAAAAAAAAAAAAAAAGGAGGAAAAAAGACTGCCTGCCTTGAGGAGTCATGTGAGGGAAAACTGTGCCTGATTTCATTAGGAAATCCATTCTGTTATTTTTTGGTGCTGTTGGCTACTTTATCAAAAACCCTTCAATAGCATCCTTTAAAAAAAAAAAAAAAAGAAAAAGAAAAAAAAAAGTGATTGAAGCCATAAGTGCTTCTTTTGTCATAGACGTGCAATCTTTCTAACATTCCATTTCCATTCCACTGCTGTTTTTCACACCTTTACACAGTCAAGCATTAATTTTTTGTTTTGAATTTTTCATTATTATATGATCACAATTAGAGCCACTAGCAGGTCTGTATATTTCTTTTTGAATGTGAAAATGCATTTGCTTTCTTCTTGTCTATTTTTTTCTCTTCATGTTGTAACAAAAAAAAAAAATCACACCTTTTGTACATATGCCTGTAAATTTTTTTAAATACTTGAGCCTTTTCTTGGGGTGGGGGGAGGGATGGCGAAGAGACAAGATGAAGAAAAGCCTTACGTTTCACTTTCTTCATCGGTTGGATTGGATGCTTACAGGGTTTTTCTTGTAACATTTATAAGTGCTGCTTACATCACTGAACAACAACAAAAAAAAATAATAATGGAGTAGCTGTTGCCCTTTTCTGGTTGTGTGTACAGTATGTGTGGAATAAAAAAGGGAAAATGTTTTCACAAACTGTTTTGTTTCGTAATTGAATTCAGCGATACCGTAGCTACCCATATTGCACTGAGCTTGCCAGTGGTGACTGTCAGGAACGTCCTATAATACAGTTTGTTGGTTGTTGTTGCAGAAGACTGAACTGTTTTGGAATATTTAACAATAACATAAACAGAGTCAAGTGTTTTCAAATGTGGTTGTCTGGTTTTTATGGCCTTGCTGTGTACTTTTCCCTCTTGACAGTAAACTTCTGACTATGGCTTACAGTTTGACATTTAATTTATTAGCGCTGCTCTGCTCTCTTTCCTTGTAAGGAAAGACTTCATGTTGTTTATTGCCAGTTTTTTTGTTTACTTTCCAGGTTTGTACTACGAGGTTTAATAAAAAAAAACAAAACGTTTTTGGACATTTTGTCTGTCTTCTGGAAAGTGAGTAAAGTAAGCTCCTTAATTAAAGAACAATTTATTTCAACAGATACCTTGTTAAATAGTAAACAGCTAATTGGAGGTAGGGAGCTTCTAGCTTTCACTTCCCAGACAGGGGTCAGGAACCACTTTTTGTCAAGTAACAGGAGACTGAGTAAAGCCTTAAGGAAAGTGGCCCCTTCCCAGCTGGTGAGCTGCAGGAGGTGCCTCATTCCCAACCCTCAGCTTTGTCAAGGCTTTGGACAGGACTGACATGACAGCTCATCCTCTTACTTACGCTGTTCCTGGTTACATTCCTTCCCTCCGTGCACAAAGAGCAGGAGCCAGGAGCCTTCGCCCAGGAGAGCAGATCCCTGCAGACAGAGTGTGAGACTTGACAAGAAGCAGGTGTTAGACACGGTCAGACCTCAGTTTCAGAGAGAAAAATGACTGCAGAAAAAAAAGGCAGTAAGATGATGGTGACTACAGGTCCTAAGGTTTATAAAGTGTACACGATCTATAATTTATCCAGGTTTATTTCCATGAAGTTGCTGGTTTGCAGCAGTGTAGTCAAACAGACATTACCAAGGATAAGGAACTTATACTGGGGCTCATTATACATTACCTTCCCCCCCGCCCCAATTGCTGAATTAGTCTCCTCTGTTCACTGTCATGGAAAAAATATTTGGGTAGTCAAGTAAAAGACATAGTTGGGATAGAAACACTTTATTTTATCTCAAAAGATACGAGGAGTATAACATTTCAATATCCATCTCTCCTCCTCTTCAGTTTTATTTTTTCCTTAACACCTAGGATAACTAAGTTGGTCCTGAATAAGAAGTGTGAGAGTAGACACTGCTGCATGAGAAGGCAAAGGCAGTAGGCAGACAGTGGGTAGTAAAGAGTAGAAAATAAAATAAACTTTTCATTTTGTTTTGGATCCTAAATCTTCAGTTGCAGCAGCTGAAAACATGCAAGGAACAATTTGGGTTCAGTATAACACATCGAGTCTAATTATTTCCAATCAGCCATTTAAAGGTTAGTGGTCAAAGGAACTTCTAGCTTTCCTCTTTAATTCTCTTATACATAGTATATACAAAAGTTTTACTGCTCCCCTGAGCCCCCAGACTACTGGTAAAGTGTGTGTGCTTTAGGCTTTTTTTTTTTTTTTTTTTTTTTAAACTCAACCTCCCCATGACTGGCAATTTTGTAAAAAGGCTGTATTCCTAAGTAAAAAGATCTGGCTGTTCTGCTTGATTAGCAAATCATTACACAGGCAAGCTCTTCCTTCACTTGTTCATTCATTCAGAAGTCATTCTTAAAGGATATGGTTTTAAGATTCAAATAGTTTGAGAGTCACTTTCATCGCTAACATCTGAAGCACCCTTTCTTTCAGCTACAGCAGCAAGAGCAGTGTCCACTTGAACTTCCTCCTCGTCAGACTGCACAACTGGAGACTCTCCTTCGCTTGGCTCTTGGCTGGCAGAATCCGTACAGGTTGATGACAGCGAAGACAGTTTCTGTCGTAATTCAGACTGGCTCGGAACCTGAAGGCTTATCTCATTCACATAGGTGCTGGAGTCGGGCCCTTAGAGTTGGAAATACAAAACAACAACAAAAATTAAGCTGTGGCTCAGCAAGTGAATTGAGAAGTTGGTCTATTAACTGAGATCAGCGTTTGTTGATGAGTTGCATTCATGCTCTTGTGCTTTTTTATTTTGCAAAATACCATAAAAACCCTCCCAAAACATGAAGCTGCCTTTGGGCTTTTCTGAAGTTGAGCTCAAATTTAAGCTACAGGCTGGTTTGAATCTGTTTCTCAAGGTGTGTATGCCCCTCACTCGTTCTAGTACTGCTAATGCTTACAATAAAGGGAAGACTGAGGGAGTATTAGAAGTCCCTGACTGTTAAGAGACACAGCTGATGTCCAGTTTGCCTGTTAGCCAAGACCACATAATCCTCCTGACTCACTCTGACTTTTTGATAAAGTCCATTCAGACTTCAGCATGTGCTGAGAATCATCCCCAACAGGAAAATCCTCCAGACAAATTCTGTCCAACAGAAGGACACAAATAAACCCTGGGTGAAATTAAAAAAACCAAACAAACAAAAAATAAACATCTGGGAGACAGGTAGGCAAGAACAGTAATCTCCAGGTTTGACTAGAAATCAAGATGCAGAAGCAAAACAAATTCTTGCCCACAGCATGAAACCACTCCTCTGGTAAAGCTGTATCATAGCTCAAGGGCACAGGAATGGGATTTAAAGACTATCTAAAGACTTCCTCCACATCCTATGCAAAAAGACTTGTAAGCAACTTCAGTGTAAAAATGGTCTTTGCTTGTAGTTTGAGACTTGAGATTTCAGAATTACCTTAGATCCTCTTCTCTGGACACTTCCTGACAGTAAATAAGGAGGAAAAATATGGAAACGTAAACATTTTACGTGATCTGGCAAATAAAGCCCTTTTTTCTTTCTGTTAGCAGAAAGCAAGTGTTTCTTCATAGTTAGAGCACCCAAATTCAGCACTGAGTCACCTTACTGAGAATATACTCTTAAAAATCCTGAGAGATTTTATAAGAATTTTATTAAAAAAATGTTTCAAGAGGGTCAGGTGGAAATGAGCTTGATCACTCCCCCTCCCTCTGCTCAGGCTGTTTGCAAAGCAGTTCAACTGCCTTGCCCTGTGACTGCTCCTCACGGTCTCACCAAGTATCCAAGGGAAGCTGTAACCAAAAAACGGTCACAGCAACACCTGGAGGCAGCAGAAGCTTGCTGTATAGACACTGCTGCTCAGGCACGTCTCGCAGGTCTACTGAACTGCTTTCATGGGCAGTACAAGAATTTATACTGAACACAACGATAGCAGGCAGGTGTATTTGAAGACAGCGCCGTCCTTCTATCGCGCACACTAGCATGCAGTAGATGAAGGAACACACACACAGGAGGAGTTTGCTGGAGTGGCAGAGGTGAGTAAATTTTTCAGTCCCACTTAACTATGGTGAAATGTTTGAAAACCCATGCCCATAAGCCAGCAATAGCAAGACAAATTTGAAAACATTGTAATGCCTTGAGCTGATTTTAATTTTTTACCCGTTACTGAAATAACTTACCTGTATTCTGTGGTCAGTAAAACCGAGAAGCAAATCTTGCCCTGACCAACCCAGTTCTCCACTGACAGCAAAATGAAGAGTAATCTTTAAGTCATCTCATATTTCTGAGAATGAAGACACTGTAATACTTACATTACAGCACAAAATAAATTACACAGCTTTGTCAAAGACTAATAAGTTTTCCCCCGATTTAGGAACAGTAGTTTCTACACTGCCTTAGATAATCCAGTTACACTGTTTGGTGTTAAGACATGAAGCTTCTTGGTCCAACATCGGCCAAAGACCCAGCAAGGGGAAGACAGTCCTAGATTCTGTCATTTGCACGCTCAAACAATGATCAACTGTAATAACGCCTGAATTGGATGCCTATCCAAAACCAGCCATCTCAATTTAGTTTTTGCAGTAAAACACTAACACCCGTAGTAGTCAAGTGTGCCTTGACTACATACCAGTAAGCTTCTCATGATCATAGCAGGTAATAATCACCTTTACACAGGGAAGAAGAAAAAACCCCAGGCTATTATTAACATTTTTCTTTACTTATCGCCAAATATGTAGGGTAGGATTTAAAGTACACTGTTTCTTCACTATACGTACTTTTATAAAAATATTTCAACCTGTATTTTCAAAATAATTCAAAAGTACGTTTAAAGGAGCTTCATCATCTCCCCCAAGACAATTCATTTTGGCTCTTTTGGGGAAAGGCATTTTAGTACTAAAGTTCTTAATTAAGAAAACACACTTCCCTGGTGGATAAAGCACCCAGGGTTACTAATTCCCTGCTTTAAGCAGATCCCTCATCATGCTGCAACTTGCCAAAACGTAAATCTGGTTTTGTTCCTCAGAACACGTAAACAAAATTTTGGCTTAAGATTAATTTAATCCAATTTAAGTGACATTACTAGCAGTAAGAAGGCTACATGAAAGAGCTGCAGTATCAGAATCACTCTTCAGAAG